AGGTGACCGCTACAAGGTAGCATATGGCCGAAGGCTTGTGAAATAATACACGCATTCAGTTTTCTCCATCCGCTCTACGCAAGATTGTACTATCATGTTCTAGCGCCAGTGATATGCCTCCGGAAATGTACGCAAAGTGATCAAGCCAAGCTACTTCGGACTTTGGATGCTTACTTCGGTAGCGGTGGTGTGCTGACGAAATGCATATTTAAAAAGCCTTCTGCGGCGCGCGAGATCTTGTGCAGTCCCGCCAGCTCGACAGCATCACGGATCGCCTTCACCTCTTCGGCGGTAAGTTGGACGTTTACCGCGTTTGCATTCTCCTCGACACGCTGCCAGCGAAGTCAATCATCCTTTCACGCCTTCAGATACACAGGACACTCACTCCGGGGTTGGTAGTACCGGGGATCGGGATCACATCCGGGCCTTGGGCGAGCACCCATGCAAGTGTGACCTGTGCGGTCGTCGCGCCATGCCTCTTGCCTATCTCGGTGAGTGTGTCGATGAGCTTCAGTATGAGCCGGAAGTTCTCCGCCCGCAAGCGCGGGTAGTCGAGCATCTTACGGGTGTCCCCGTCGTTCGGCGCCTCGCGGTTCTGTCCTCTCCCATCAGCCCACTGTTCCAGTAAACATGGGTGGACGGACGGGGACGTGCAAACTTACCCGAGAGGATCCCGCGCCCGAGCGGGCAGGACGCTACGAGCGGAATGCCGAGCTCCTTGCACGCGTTCCTGATCCCGATCTGTGGGTCTTCGATGTTCAGCGTGAAGGGCGCGTACTCAAACTGCGCTGCTGATAGGTGGTGTACGGCGTGTGCACGGCGGAGAGTGTCCTCAGTGCACCCGGAGATGCCGATGTACTTGACTTGGCCTGCCCTAGAGAATATGAGAGATCGGAAAATTGTGATGAACTCGTAGGAAGTACCTACTTGACCGCTTCTGCCATGGCGCTAATGGTTAGCTGCGGAATGAATAGTGATCAGAGGCTCAAGACATTTCTGCGGTATATGTGGAATTGTACCTCGATCGGGACGTTCTTGTCCGGCCTGCATATCAAGGATGGTTCAGCAGGAGATGCTTGAGGTGTCAGTGAAAAGCGTACAGATCAATCTGATCTACACCCAGCCTCTTCAAGGACTTGTCAATGGCCTACCTCGCATGTTCCGGCGTGCCATCGATCACGATGCCCTTGCTAGCATCTGCCACATCGACAACACGAATACAGAATTTCGTGGCGAGAAAGATCTCGCTGCGCTTGCCGGTGCGCTTGAACCACTGCCCAAAGAGGTCCTCGCTATCACCATAGATGTCAGACGTGTCCCAGAGTGTACAGCCGTGCTCGTAGGCAGCATCCAGGACCTAGCGCAGTGCTGCGTGTTAGCAGTAGTAGCAGGCAGCGAGCCAGCCGCGTGAGACTGGCCGCCTACCTTGAGGCGTTCTTCGTCCGGCTTTGTGGGGCCGTAATATGCCGACAAACCCATCCTTCCGAAACCAAGGCAACTGACGTTCGCGTCGCCGATCTTGCGTGTGGGCAAAGACATTTCGTTGTGCTTAAGCTGAAGAAGAGCTGTCCGAGTATGTGAAGAGTAGAGTGATGGCAGGTGGATGATCAGAGCTCGGTCTGCCCAATATATAGCCGATCTTCACGAGCAAATCGACAAGGCCACACCGAGCCTCTTCAAAGACCTGTCGATGGCCAACCTCGCATATTCCGGTGTGCCATCAATCACGACACCCTTACTATCTATCGCACGAAAAGCGAATTTCGTGGCAAGGAAATTTTCATTGTGCTTGTTGGTGCGCTCGAATCACTTTCCAATGAGGTCCTCGCTGTCCCCATAGCCGTCCGCCGTGTCCCAGAATGCACAGCCTCGCTCGTAGGCAGCATCCAGAACCTAAGGCAGCGTTGCACGTTAGCAGCCGGCGAGCCGGCCGCGTGAGACAGGCCGCCTACCTTGAGGCGGTCTTCGTCTGGCTTCGTAGGACCGTAGTTTGCTGAGAAAACCATCCCTCCGAAACCAATGCAACCGACGTCTGCATCACCAATCTTGCGTGTGGGCAAAGGCATTGTGTTATGCTCTGGTGAAGGTGACGGAAAGATGTCCGAATACGTGAAGAATAGAGTGGTGGCAGGTGGATATCCAGAGCTCGATCTGCTCAATATTTAGGCGGCTTCCATGAGCAAGTCGAGCACCTACGCGCCTGCACCTGCTAACGAAGACTATTTCTTCCTGCGTATTTTGGGAAGCTCCGTTTGATTATGAAGTACTGAGTGTTGTCAAACGCCTTGCTGAAACGGTATGTAAGACGCCCGTGGCCTTGCAGAGCGCAGCGACGGAATCTGTGGCTGGTGGGCCTGACTGGTGAGTTGTTGTCCACTGTAACGTATAAATGTTCCAAAAATAGCTTCCCGTCGCTCGCCATGCGTACGTGCTGCCCTGTGTCGCCTCGACAAGATGCGTTTCGGAGAGGAATTGACCAATGGCCGAGACCGGACGTAAGTGTCTTACTGTAGACTCGGTATGGGTATGACGAGTCCCAGTTTCGCCAAACAATCCGAGGGTGCGAGATTTCGGGACGTTTTGGGAAGGGAGGTAGGGTCCTGCATGCAGTGGGAAGGAAGGTGCACCCGCCAGCGCACGCCGAGTCCCAAGCGTCCGAGTGCATGAAGGTAATGTCGAGTCTCCACTCACCATAAAACCGGGGAAGAGACCTAGGGGTTGTGGATGTACCCCTTCATTCATCTCTTCGTCATTTAGGACTTGTAGGGCAGCCCCTAATTGATCTCGAGCATGGTGTGTATTACCATATGCATGACAATGACCCTCAGGCTCGAGTGCCATTACCTATGACTTGAGGAGAGGTGGAACGCGCAGCGTCTACAGTTCTGCGTCAACATAGGCCAAGTATGCTTCATGCGCCGAACAAACTATTTTCTGACCGAGCTGGAATACGCGGCTAGAGCATGGTATCAGTCCGTTCGCGAGCGGACTTCGAAAGAAGTCGCTTGCAGTTTCTGCGGAGTCCGAGCTGCTGGATACAAGCCTGTTACTTTGCCTCATTCACAATGTTTATGTAAAGGCGTACGTGTTTTACAGTGAAGCGTTTGAAGATCCGGAGAGCGAAGACAGACCTGCAAGATATAGAGCGCACCATCAGGCGGATCTACGCACCGGCGCCAATTTAATTCACGGGAGGAAGCGTCCGTCACGACTTCCGAGGCTGCATCTTCACAGTCCCGCCAACATCCGCCAGCCTGCCACGCGCTGCCCAACACACTAGCCCTGGTGCGCGCTCTCACAACGTGGACGACACACTACAGTCGCTCCTCGCCACATCTTGCTAACGTCTGCTGAGGCTTGTCCCTTCTCACGGTATTGCGTGGCCTCGCAATGAACTCGAAGTCGTCGACACTACCTCGCTCGAATGTGCTCGTTCTGGGATCGAACTCTGTGCACTGTCTCCTGCCGGCGACGCTCATAGCACAAGCGGATGCGCTGCTCGACAGACATCGGCTCGAAGAAGCCGTGGACCTGGCAGACAGGCACCTGAAGCGGCTACAGGCCAGGGTGGCTGTCGGTCAAGAGGAGGTGCGTGGCGAATGTATCGCCAGGTCCCAGCTCATCTCAATATGCGCGGACATCCTTCGTCATGTGCCGTACTGCGCGGATAGGCCGACGAGCTGCGCTACGTGTATCAGCGCATCGGCTTCCAGTGCCTCACCGAGACCCTGTTCGACGACGCCGGCAAGCACTTCTTCGCCGGCCACCTCGACCCGCGCGTGCTCGTCCGGTACTACCCGCACCTCTGTGGTACACTGCTCGGCGAGGAAGAAACCGTCGATGTCTTTGCGGGCGTTCAGGAGCACATGCCGCGCGAGGCGAGCATCGACGACATCAGTGAGTGCCCGCCCTTCCGCGTCGCCCCCTTCTCCCCGTGCGCCCGCGTTCTGTAGCCAAATGTAGCACCCCATCTCATTCCCTCCGCCCCACCCGCTCCTTTTTTGTTGCCATACACCCAACCCCTGCGTGCGCGTGCCTGGGCTCCGGTCTTGCCGTGTCGCCGTCGTTGTTGGCATGAAAACCATCCCCCGTTGACGTGCGCGCATACGTCGGGGCTGATCCCAGTTCGCATCAACCTAGTCAGGAACTACTCGCCGCACCTCGCGCCGAACACGAGCACGGCGCCGCCGACGATCGAGCTCCGCGAGATCCTGAACATGGCCGCGGCGGACATGCTCAAGGTGTTTCTGCGCAAGTGGCGCGCGAAGCGCAGGGACGAGGTGCACGACCGGCGCGCCAACGAGGTACGTCGCTGATTTTCTCTGCGAGTTGGCACAGGGCGGAGGCTGAGGACGACACAGGTGGTTGACACGGTCCTTGCGAGGCTGTACACGGAGTCGGGAGAAACGACAGACCTCCTTGCGCTCATCGGCGGCCCGAACGACATTGTGTTGCACGAGCTCGAGCCGGTGCTCATCAGGAGCAGCCGGTACGACGCGCTCTGCAGACTGTACAAGACCCGAGGACAGGAAGCAAAGCTCCTGGACGCCTGGTCAAAGTGAGCTTGTCGGCCGCTCTGCCTCGGATCGTTCTGACCTTCATAGGCTGATCACTGGCGAGTGGATCGATCTCGACGTGCACGACCCGCTGTCCAGCATGTTCATGTTCCTGAACGAGAAGCGAGACAAGGCCCTCGCGCAAGAATGGGGCACCTGGCTGCTAAAGTACGACCAGGACCAAGCGATGCGGGTGTGCCCGTGCTCCCTTCTTCGAAACTTACCATCTATACTAACCCCAAACCTCCAAGCTACTGTTCACTGTCGGATTGGGGAAGCGCACGGCGAAAGGCGGGGCGGAAGAGTCCGCGCTGCTTCGTCGCATCCAAGAGGCAGATCCGAGAGCTGCGGCACAGTTCCTTGAAAACCTGGTTCTGAACAGGCGCAGTGCTGTACGCACCCTCGTTTCGCCTTCCACATAACGATATGCTGAGTGGTCTACTGATAGGATCCAGATTTGCATAACCAACTAGCGAGCGTATATGTGGACCAATTGCTGTCTTGTTTCGCAGACGAGTCCATCTCTAAGCTATGGCGCGCAAAAGGTACGTTACCGGTTTTGCCTACGTATACTTTGTGTCTGAAACATTCCTCACAGCCGCTTCATACACCTCTGGCAAAGTTGATGTTCCCTTCTTATCTTACTTTGCGTCCACGACACCAGACTCGGACTCGAAAGAGACACGGTTACGGACTGCTCTGTTCCTCCAGGGCTCGAGGTTCTATGACCCGGAGCTTATCAGACGAAGATTAGAAGAGCATGAGCAGAAGAAGGTACTCAGTCTTGAGGTGGCCGTCGTGCTCGGAAAGGTGAGGTGCACTCTCGTTTCTCTCCACCACTCTCTCTGAACTACGGACAGCTTGGTCGTCATCGAGAAGCTCTAAGCGCGCTCGTACTTGATTTGCACGACTCCGCTTCGGCCGAGATTTATTGCACGTTGGGCGGCGCGGTCATATCACCGAAAGTTGCGCATTTACTAGGGGAACGGTTCCAGCTGCAGCGATGGGCCGCGCTCATCACGCCGCTGCCCATGGCGAACAAGGCCACGCCCATGGAGCGTGAAAAGACGGTAGACGAGGGTCTGAAGAAGGACCTGACAAAGATACTGCTGGGGGTGTACATGAGCGGAGGGTAAGCCTTTCCCTTCGGCGGTGGGAGGAACGACGCGACTGACTCGCTCTGGGCAGAGAGGCGATGGCCGAACGCGCTGCGCAGCTGCTGAGCGCACAGGGGATGAACCTGGACGGGGAAGAGGTGCTGGCGACGATCCCGTCCGAGTGGCCGCTGCGGGTGCTGTCGTCGTTCCTCGCACGCTCGCTCCGGCGAACGCTGCACGCGCGCCACGAGGGCCAGCTCGTGAAGGCGATCGCGACGAGCGAGAACCTCGCCGTTGCTGAGCGCACGTGGCTCGTTCTCCGCGAGGAGGGCGCGGTCATCGAGGAGGCCATGGACGGCGATGGCGACGACGATGGTAGCGCGGACGAGAAGGGGGGCGAGTCGGGCCTGGGGCTGAGTCTGGACGAGAAGGCCGAGCTGGTGCGTCCGGCGCAGGGCGGAGGGGAGGCTCCTGTGGTGGATTTTACTTGAGTGTTGCGTCATCTGGATGAATTCATGCCATGTTCTAATGCTTTGCTAATTGGACATCTCTGCTTCCTGGATGTCGCAGGATCGAGCGCTGGTTGGTGTCCATATGGTAGGGTGATGGAAGTGCTGTGACGGACGCGATGCTCAGGCTGCAGGGCGAGACGACTCTCCGTCGGGCGACCGCTGCCGCCGTTGCGTGATATTGCGCACCCTGACTTTCCCCTTCGGCGCTCGCTCGAAGACGGCAGGCACTTACCCAATGTCATCGTGCGATGTACTGAAGTATATTACATGCCATCGGGATGACACTAGTTCCTGGAGCGTACGCCGCTGACGCACCCTCACTAGGCAACTGTGGCTTCTCGATGAGGGAGGGGAGGGGCGGGGCAGCGGTCGCGATCATCACGGTCTCCAAGTCTTCGATGCCGTGCCGTGCCGTGCCGCTCCCGGCATATTCTCAGCATGCCTCCCTCGAGCTCTGTGCACGGCCTGGTGAGTAGTATAGATAACCTTCTGTCAGTGCGTTCACGTTGTCTCAGAGTTTTCATATCAAGGTTCGCCTACGGAGCGGAAACCTTAGCGAGCCGAAGGTCGCGTGGTATCGGCACAAGAGGCGCGCACATCACACACGGCAATCCGTTGGCCATCGAGTCGGCGGTGAGGGCGCCGAGACCGCCTGAGCCCGACGTCTTCCAGGAGTTTTAGCTTCTGAGAGTGCCTGGCTGCCAGATCCCCCCAATCTCGCGAAATTTTCGCTCCCCATCTCGCACGGTGCGTTAGACTTGGGACAGCTGAGCGAAGCTTCGAATTTCCATCAAACCAAGACGCCCTTCGCGCCCCGTCATTTCGAACCGCGCCGCGCCCGGTCTGCATATATGCGCGACTGTTCCCCAGCAGTTAGTCCTCGGTACTTGTCCTCTGCCCCAACGCGAGCCCGTCCTTGTCTTCTGCTACCACAACATCACCGTGAGTGGTGTTTGTTGTCGCACGATGGAGGATCACGGCAGCAGTATCCCTTCCTTGCTGGACAAGTACAGCACCTCCGACGTCGCGCTCGAGTCCCACCCGCCTCTCTCGGCCAGGAATGGCGTCTGGTGGAAGATAGATCTATTTGTTCTACCTGTTGCGACAATGATATTCTTCCTTTCATTCTTGGTGTGTTCTTCTGATATATGCGCACTGACTTCGCGCATTTAATCTGAGAACTACAGGACAAGGGAAATATTGGCAATGCCCGCATGGCAGGGCTGCAGGAACAGCTTGGGATGACAAACAACCAAGTAAGGCCTTTCGCTCGTGTCTGCCAACTCTTCGGACTGACCCCCTCCGGCGTGTAGTACAGTATAGCCTTGACAGTCACATACATGTATGTGTCTCTCTCAAACTCTCTTTCTATAGGACTGACAATCTGCTACACAGTCCTTATATTTTAATAGAGTTTCCAACGAATCTACTGCTCAAGGTATGTTACCTCGCTCGGATTCCTCGTTGCTTTGCTCAATACTGGCTGATTTGTAGCATATTGGTGCTAATATACTCTTGCCGGCAATGGTGGTGCTGTGGGGTATCGTAACAGCCTTGCAAGGTAGGTCGCTGGAGCCTCCCTCTGCCGTGTTTGCCCCGAAGTCGCTTATTTGAGATCATTAGGCCTCGTCACTACCTATTCCGGTCTCATCGCCTGTCGTTTCTTTCTCGGTCTTTTTGAAGGTGGGTATATGCGACTCAAACGCATCATACGCTTGTGATGAAACGACTCCGTAGGTGGTCTACTTCCGGGCTTGTCGCTGTATCTTGCATCATTCTATCCGAGACAGAGGCTGCAGTTACGGTATGTTTATCACGATCGTTGCATATATGTGCTCCAAATAACCGCTTCCTTCCAGCATCTCCATCTTCTTCGCTGCTGCATCACTGGCCGGTCTGTGACTTTTGATGCTGCTCGTGCCACAGCGCTTACTAGCTGGCTCTCTTGCTACAGGTGCATTTTCTGGCCTTCTTGCCGCCGCTATCATCAAGATGGAGGGCGTCGGAGGTAAAAATGGCTGGGCGTGGATCTTCATCTTGGTGAGACGACCGGTCTGCGCCACTCCGATGAAGATTCATCGATTTACTCCAACACCTTCCCATTAGGAAGGTCTATTCACCGTGTGCTTCGGAGCGGCGTCCTTCTGGCTGTTGCCTCGCACACCACAATATGCGCTCTTCTTGACGTCCGAGGAGAAACAGTACATTTCCGAGGTGCTGCAAGATGACGGTGTCGTTGCGGCAAACGCTTCCGAAGACGAGTTCAGTTGGCATCATGTCATCGAGACGTTCAAGAAGCCGCACGTGCTGGTCCTCACTGTTGCCGGCTTCTTCAATGGTAGGTCGTAGGACGTCTGAGATTTGACGGCACGAAATAATGGGATATATTGCAGGTTCCACGCTGTCCGGCCTTGCGTAGTATGCATGATTTATTGCGGCGCCCTGAATTTGACATTGATGTTGGGATGCAGCTTCGCGCCCTCTATCGTGGCGAGCCTCGGGTACACGAAAAATCAGGCACAGCTCATGAGTGTGCCGCCTTTCGCAGTCTCTTTCGTCCGTACGTGGCTCCTCCATCACCCACCTGACTCTTTACTAAACCAATCAGTGTCCATCGTGACCTCTTTCCTGTCCGATTTCTACGGCCGACGTGGTCTCACCATTACCTTCTTCGCCTTGATCAGCATCGTCGGCTTCGCCATGTTCCTCGGTTCGTTCGCCCCACTCTGGCCTCCGTCCTGCGGATCCCGTGCTCATCTAACGCTCGCTTCAGGCTCCGCGGACGACAGCGTGCGGTACGGCAGCCTGTTCTTGTTGCTGCCAGGCACGTACTGCGCTGCGCCGCCACTCGGCGCGTGGGTCGCCAACAACGCCGCGCCGCACGCGCGCCGTGCGACCGCCCTTGCGGCGCTCACCGTCGCGACGAACACCGGCGGGATCCTGAGCACGTGGCTCCTCGGCGCGCTCTCGCCGCCGCCGCGGTACACCGCCGCGAGCGCGACACTACTCGCGTTCCAGGTGGGCATCTTGGCGTGTGCGCTCGCGAATGTGCTCTATCTCTCCGCGCGCAACGGGCGCAAGCGTGTGGAGAGAACGCACCTAGGCGAGAGACGTGAGAAGGTGGGTGTCGTTGGGGATGACAACGCGTGGTTTGAGTACAAGCTGTAGGATCGTGCGTCGTGCATACGTGCTATTGTCGCTCTTTTAGCCTTCCTATTGTAGTTGTAGGATTGTCCGTCGTGCATGCGTCGTCGTCGCTCTTTTGGCATTTTTGTTGTTTTCATGGACTTCTTGCAGACTTGCAGCTGAATGTGAATGAAACTGTCGTTTGCTGTAATAATATAACAATCTTTGAGGTTTGGCCCGTACTACTCTCCGCTTTCGTGCCTTAATGTTACTCTCTTGAGCACCCCAGTGCGCTCATCTGCATGACTCATCAGCAAGCTTTACAATTGTCCGCAATCAATCACCATTTTGACGGACACGGACTAGATACATACACCAGATTCACCGCAGCATGAGCAACTCATGCGCTAGACCCAAATTACTACGACGAGCTCATATCGTTCGAATCGACTAGAGCTGTTTGTGAACGACAGGCGGGGAGAGAACATGCCTGCGACAGCGTCAGAAGGATCCCAAGTGTCATGAGCCTCGACATATCGGCCCCCTGGAATGATCCATCTCCGCAGTCTCAGCGTGCAGACGAAAGACGAATCATCAGCAGAGGCCCAGCCTTTCACACGAACACACGCTGAATTTACAGACCTGGTATTAAATACGTTCATAGCGAGCGATAAGTGTCTAAGCTATATGTGCGTCAGAGGCTGAGGATATCGTAAGGGCTATTGTGTACATTTTAAGGGCAGGACAGGCGGGATTCCATATCACTCCGGGAAGCTAGAGAGGCAGATAGCAATTAGGGAGGGAAATAGCAGGTGTCAACGTGAGTGCGGGGCAATGGAGCGAGTGGATGCGAGTCAGATGTTGACGGATATGAAGGGTGGAACTAGTGCGATAATAGGGATAAGTAGGCGGGGAAAACGCGTCGAAAAGGGTTCAAGCTGCGGCGGACTGCATCAGCCAGTAGTCGAGGAGCATGCCGGACCAGATGATGAGCCCTGTGAGGCCGTTCGCGTTGAACTTGCGCCCGCCGTCGGCCGGCACGTCGGGTGTCCACGTCGCGAACTGCCAGGCAAAGTGCAGCGCGGCGCCGCCGCAGGAGAGGACAAAGTAGGGCACGCCCTGGTGGTTCGCGTGCCCGGCGGCGAGGAGGAGCGCGAGGAAGGCGAGCGTGAAGCCGATGAGGATCGGGCGCACGTACGCGCCGAAGAGGAGCGCGGTCGACTTGACGCCTGCGTGCACGTCGTCCTCGCGGTCCTGGCAAGCGTATATGGTGTCGTAAACGATCGTCCAGCTGCGAGTGAACGTTAGAGGTGCGAATATGTGGGGAGAAAGGATAGGACGCACCAGACGGTGCCGAAGAAGAACGCACAGACGACGTGCACTGGGACGTTATCTGTGACGGCGAACCAGGCAACGGGGTACCCCCAGTTCATTGCGAACCCTGAGAAGAAGTTTTGTTTAGATGGAAAGTGGGAAGGGACATTATGCGGATTGACCTAGCCAAGCCTGAGGCCAGTATGTCCAGCGCTTCATAAGAGGGTAAAGTGCATGAAAGGGGAAGATACCCATGAGAGCGAAGAGAGCACTAGAGTGTGTTAGAAGATATTAGCATCCGTAGACGAATCGGTGACTTACGCAGTTTGGTTTGTTAGGAAGAGCATGGCAATTGTAGGAACCATGAGGACAAGGAGGAGGATCCATGCTTCGAGGGCGGTAACCACGCCAGAGGGCAGAGGTCGTGTTCTTGTGCGTTCTATAAGAACAATGAGTCTGATATTCAACGACATGGATTGCACGTACTTACCGACTTGTCTGTCAAAGTCTATGTCGCAAATGTCATTGAGCACACAAGCAGCACTGTGCAGCAGCGTGCTGCTAATGCCAAACGCAAATAGTTGTACAGCAAGGTCATGTATCGGTGTGCCGATAGCGTAGCCGGCCATAGTAAGACCCCATGCTGGAAGCGCATCAGCACCGACGAGGTGGGTAGGCGCGTAGGACAACCTACCACACGGCCAGAACATCAACGTGTTGCCCATAATAGGTTTGTGTAGGCGCATGAGTTCCCAATAGCCGCGCCACCGTGACTTGGTCGGGGCGGGAGTACCGAGGAGGGAGTGGTGTGCAGCGGCCTTGTACATGATTCGGGACCGGGTAAGGAGGCAGAGGGAGTTAGAACTCGGGAAGCAGAAGAGAAGTCGAAGACCTACCGTACCTTGAGCGTGTCTCAAGAGTTTATATACCGACGTGCGGCCCGCGAGACAACTAGCCAGCATGCGCACAGGGTGATCGCACGGGGCACGTCAGGGAGAGCGTCGGCAGCTATCGCAAAATGCAGAGCTATGAAATGCGATCATTTAGGACACGAAACATGAGGACCTACATCCTTTCGGATGCTCACCCGTCTTTGTTTTTTCAGGCTTATTTGTCGTGGTACCGAGCGCATCGCACTCATTGGCGGCGTGGACGGCCAAAACCGGCTCTATGCCGCGCGCCGCGTACTATTTCCATGCGGATCCTTCGTTCAAGGGACGTGAAGGAACGCCACAGAGCTCAGCGCAGATTCATTAAAACGGACCGCCCGGAAGAGCCACTGCTAGACCAAAGTCTGGAAGCTTGATAGCCGCCGGCTGTCTCTGGGCGCCCCGTGGTCTCTCCTGTACAACAACAGCGGTTACGCATGTTGGCACGACGGCGTTATGGAGATGACTCGCATACCTGTGAGTAAAAAACGCTTTGAAGCCATTGAGGCCATTTCCGACGGCTACCTCTAGTCCTGTGCTCGCGGATGCGCCCACGTTCGCAAGCAGAGCCGAATACGTAGGTTTTAGCTGCGATGTCGCCATCACACGCGCAACATCTGAAACCTCGCAGTTTTGCAGGTGGATCACTACAGTGCAAAACGTGTCACTAGAAGGGCGGTTAAGCACACGCAGTGACGGCGGCTTGGGCACGGGCTGTCCTTGCCCTGAGAAATGAGCGGACTGCACTGACATGGATCCGATCCGCCATGCCCGACGAGACAAGGTTGTCGTGCTTATCAGGCACGAGGCCGTAGTGGCAAAAGAGAGAGTGCGGAACCGAATATCCAGTGACTGCGTCCACCAGAAAGTCCGGTCCAGCATGGATGTCGCAGTGCGGGATTGAGCTCTTGAACAGATGTACGGCAAGGAGAGTATAAGCCCTGTAGATTAAAGCCAAAATCTTTCTGTAAAAGTCTAAACAGCTATCAGTATTTGGCATGCACCTCATTGCAGGACTTATTTTGGGATGGTATGAAATAGTAATTATACAAAAGAATGGGGCCCCTGCGGACATGAGGTAACATGAATTCAAATACGCTAGGCGTGGGGTGAACTTCAGACGGAAGTGATATATATCGAAATATGGAGTGTACTCGATCACTCTCCGTCGCCACATAGGGATAAATGGCGCCGTGTTGTAATGCACGAAACAGGATTATCGTGGATAAACGATTCGGGAGATGACGTGCAAGCCGGGAATAAATCGAGCAGCTGGCAGGTGAAGAATATAACGTACTGCTGAATCCACAAGAGACATCTCATGGCAACACTGGCACATAAGGTAGCGATTGTCCGTATCTTAGACGGACCACCTGGACTCGCCGGAGGAAGGCTTATACTAATGGCTGCTGACGGCGCGCCCACAAAATCAAAGACGATCAGTTAATTTCGGGAAGTAAACGCACAGACACGTACTGGACGCCGACGAATGTCACGGATGAGTCGGAGGCAGTCGTAGAAAGCCGCACACACCGCGAACCGCAGCTGCTCCTCCGCGGAGGGCATTTTTTGAAGCCCGAAATGCTTACCCTCAGGTGTCAAACATAGCACGCTGTCCAGGATCCGCACGCTGCCTGACCCGCTGCTGCCGGTATCACTGTTCAAAGCGAGGTCTGCGGACTAATCACTACAAGCCGCAGATTGATCAACTGGATAAGGATTGTGGATGTAATAATTTGAACACATCACGTCCACAAGGAAAGTGCACGTCAGGATGCATATGGGGAGTGTGTAAACGCTCAACGCACCAGTACACTGTTTTCATCGGACATGGTGGTGGGTTGCTGCGTCGGAGACCTCGACCTTCGAACCCTACACATGAAATGCGAGACGGTGTCCGGACCTAGCAGACGCGGCACACGACTGTGGTCACTGTTGTTGCACGTTGTGGTGAATCAAGCAGCTGGCTTGTGGCGGAGCACGTGTAAAGCATTGTATTGCACGCCCAGCACGTAGGAATGAATCGACAGGTATTTGCACTACGTAGCCGAACTAACCTCTTCAAACCTCTTGAGCGGCGTGAGTGTAAGCTCTACCATGCATGGGCCAGATCCTGTTGTCTGCTATTAAGTTCAAGGACCGTGTGAATATCGACGGTCTGCGGCGTGGACGTACGAGATATGAAACTTAACCCTCCGCAATCGACCTCCATAGCTTACGGACTTCTCCCGGTCCTCCGGTCCTTTGAATGCTTCGCCGTCACACGTGCACTCCCATAGGACGCTGTGAATGAAACGGAGATGCGTGAGACTTGCGTGTTGAGTGAACCGGTCGATGGAGGATGTATGGGCTGCTGTCGAGGTTGACATTGAGGTGCGCGGGCGCGACGTGAAGCGCGGAATTTCCCGCGGAGTATTTACTTCAATCTCCGCGGTTTCTGCTGTAGCAATGCTTAGACATTCGGCGACATTCTGAGCTCAAACATTTGTATGCTCAGAGCGCGGCCTCCTCCACCTTTCTGAGCAAGATAAACGCAGCCTTGCATAGTGACACAGCAGCTAGAAAGTGGTGCGCACAAAGCGTGGTTTGCTCGACACTGCGCCAGGTTTTTTCAAATTCCAGGGTCATGGGTAATGACATTAATGACACTTGGAGCTCGTTTACGGTATACATTCGCCTTCCCGCTACAGACGGGATCCCACCTGCTCCAGTCTCATTTTCGCTTACACTCGAGCTTGACCTTCAGATATGTCTTTCCTTGGTTACCAAGCACAAATTGATCAATCCTTCTGTGAAGCGCTTTGCCACCTTGCCGAAACGACGCGTACGCACGGCGAGCGACGCGCCACGGGAAACTAATCGCAGTGAGGTTCTGCAATGACAGACGACCTCTCAGTCATCGGAGCAAACGGTCTCGACGGCGACGCGTAGACACTCGGCTTTGCTCACGGAGGTCACCTATATAATGGATAGACCGAGCTCTGGTCATTCGTCAGTCGCCGCTCTTTTCTTTGCATATTCGAGCATCTCTCCTCCAGCTTAAGCACAACACAATGTCCTTGCCTACACGCAAGATTGGTGACGCGAACGTTAGTTGCGTCGGCTTTGGAGCGATGGGTTTGTCGGCATACTACGGCTCCCCAATGATAGACGAGGAACGCTTCAAAGTAAGTAGCACTTTTTTTGGAGCGACCTCGCCGTTTGCCAATACGCAAGACTACTCCAGGTCTTAGATGCCGCTCACGAGCAGGGCTGCACGTTCTGGGACACATCGGACATCTATGGAGACAGCGAGGATCTCATCAGTCAGTGGTTCAAGCGCACCGGCAAGCGCAGCGAAATCTTCCTTGCCACGAAATTCGCTTTCCGCGCGATCGACAGCAAGGGTGCCACCCTCGATGGTACCCCGGAATATGCGAGACTGGCCATCGACAACTCTCTGAAGAGGCTCGGTGTGGATCAGATTGATCTATGGTATCTTCACCGGTAAGTTGTTCATGAGTGTCTTAGCATACTATGCTGAGCTATTCTGATGTGCAGGCCGGACGCGAACGTTCCAATCGAGGTACATATTTACATATGTCGTAGAACTATCTTGAGCCTCTAATTCCTACCCATTCCGCAGCTCACTATTGGCGCCATGGCAGAAGCAGTCAAGTGAGCACTTTCTACGATTTTGTCGCAGCTCGCCGACCTCTCATGTCCCCCAGAGCTGGCAAAGTCAAGTACATTGGCATCTCTGAGTGTTCCGAGGACACTCTCCGCCGTGCACACGCTGTGTACCCGATCGCAGCCGCCCAGTTCGAGTACGCACCCTTCACACTGAACATCGAGGACCCGCAGATTGGGATCTGGAACGCGTGCAAGGAGCTCGGTATCACGCTCGTCGCATATAGTCCGCTCGGACGCGGGCTACTCTCGGGCAAACTCGTGCGTCTCCGCCCGTCTGCCCGTGTTAAGCGAAGCATCATGCTGACAAACAGAGAGACAGGACCCCGACGCGCTGAGTGACAAGGACATCCGCAAGTTATTCGACTTCCCGCGCTTCCAGAAGGAGAACTTCCAGCTCGTGCTCAAGGTCGTCGACACGCTCACCGAGATCGGCAAAAGGCACGACGCGACGTCTGCGCAGGTCGCCCTCGCGTGGCTGCTCGCCCAGGGCCCAAACGTTATCCCGATCCCGGGAACCACCAACGTTAGGGTTAGTGTCTTCTCTCTCTGAATATTATGTAGGAGGTTGGCTGACGACATTGGGCAGCGCCTTGAGGAGAATGCCAACGCGAGACACGTCAAGCTCACTCCTGGGGAGGTGAAGGAGATTCGCGATGCTGTTGAACGCGCGGGACTGCACGAGGTCCCACGCGTCGCAAAAGGCTTTTCGCACATGAGCTACGTCGACACGCCTCAGCTGTACAAGTAAGATCTCATTTAGCCTACCATCCAAAGTCTACAATATCTTGGGTTGATCCTTCCAATGTCTATTTGCACAATCCAGAAGCATAGTAATCCAGGTACTAAGACATGATGGTGCAACTTTGCACATACTGAATGGAGAAAATTCATTGAGGCCGTACATGGTTAGGACAAGTATCTCCTCGAAGGAGAATTCAACAGTCCAAAAATTTTGCATCCTCCACGGGAGACGCAAGACTGCAAGCCAGAGACGGCTTGACTGTTCGCCCGAAGGTTTCTAACCATACTCGTCTTCTACTCTCGTGCATTGATTGAGCCGCGCTGACAGCGATGGACTTCGGGCTGCTGTGGGTGGCACCCACAGTGTTTCCGGGGCAGAACGT